TAGAAAATGAAGGCTAATCATGTTTTGGGTGTACTATTCCTTTAAGTTTCTACTTTTTGGAGTGTGGGCCCTTAGTTTAGGTATTAACTGATGCTAAGAAAGATAAAGTGGTTAATGTCTTCCCACCAGATGTCCTCTGGACAGCATCCCATTCATGTTTTTTGCCAAGGATCTGTTCTATAGAAATCAATTTGTGGTCTATGTTCTGGTCTCATATGAGTTGATGATCGTCTCTCCCTAGTGGTCTGGAGCACCTCTGTTATTCATGGGCATCTGCAGCTATTTCTCTGTCGTCCTTCAGAAGTTTCCTTCACTTGTGGGATAATAGTCCCTCAAACACATGTTTGAAGATCAAACTGCCTCAGATCGCTGTTCCTTAATTAAAAAAACCTGAACTCTCAAACCTGATTGTCATTCTGCACATTTCTGGATATCACCTTTAGATAAAATCATTAATAATTACATACTTCCCCAAAACTAAGAAGTAATTTTAGAGTTGCCATGAACATACATTAAAAGACTTTTTAAAGAATTTATAAAACCATTAAAAAGGGCTTGTCTTTGAAGATGGTGAAATACATGTCTAAAAAAAAAAGTGAAAAAGCAAAAGGTAGGACAGCACAGCCTAAATGTATAAAGGAGTGAAGATATAAGGTACATCATGTATGATGTAACATGCAGAGAAAAAAAATCATCTTTTTAACCCTCTACACATTTTGTTGATGGAGGGGAAATCCAAATAAGATGAATATACAGATGAGACACTTTGAGTGCAGTTACTTATTAAATAACATAATCTACAGATTTCAACAGGCCGTTTTTGTGATTTTTTTTCCTACCTGGTAAAAAAAAAGTCCTGTTCACAGTTGTTATAATAGATGACTTAAAGTAATAGTGGAGGATGATCTTTTTTCAGGTGAATCATCAAAATAAGTGGTCCTCCTAATTGTCAGTCATTCTGAATGTGATATTTTTACGTAAGGCCTTCCTAAGTGCTCGTCCCCATTTTCATTTTCTTAGCGGGGGTGAGTATGACATAGTAGAAAAATAGCAAATCTTCTTTTGGAAAGTAAGCTTGTATGAGCAATACAAACAGCAACTTTTAAACAGCGCGTGCATGAGGAGAAATGTGCTTGTGCACGCTCTTGCTCGTGTTTAATAGGCGTTCCCTCTCGGGAGCGGGTACAGGGTTGTGCAAATGCTTTTTTTTTTGCTTTTTTTTTTTTTTTAGTAAACATTCCTAAACCTCGAATTAGATGCATGAATTGTTTGACAGTATTGCTTAAAAATAGAATCTTAATATTTGTCTTATGAGCAGTGGCCAGAACAAACCACTTAGTAATTGAAGCTATTAAAGATTTCAACTTCCTCGAAGAAAACCCTCAGTTTCACACAAAGAAAACTAACCCCAAAGAAAAATGCTTCCACCACCATGTTTCCTTATGGGCCTTGTACTTTTTCAGTGTTAAGCAGCCTCAAAAGTTCACATTGACATATTCCTCCAAAAGGTTCTTGGAGACATCTGCCAGTCTTTGCTGTTTTCTTTCATTTTCTTTCAAATAACAGACTTTTGTCACAAACTAATACCTTTTGGCTTAGACATACATATGATGGCATTAAATAAGTAATGCCTCTGACCCACTTCCACCTGTTTGATCTACCTGAAATTTAGCATGTGCAATTATTTATGTTTCGATAGATTATGTGCTAAAGTACAACTCTGTACTAATTGTGATTTCTGATTTACAAGGTTTTGAACTGAGTCAACTCTGAAATGGAGCCTGTTGAGTGTCAATCTGTTTTTTGTATTTGAAAGGATGCACACCATGGGAGACTTTTGATTAAACGAAAGTAACTTATGGTGATGATACTCCATCATATGGCCTTACAAGGCCATACAAAACCCGAATCAGTGCTCAACACTCTACAGGCTCCATTTCAGACCTGACTCAGTTCAAACACTTGTAAATCAGAAATTGCAATTAGTTCAGAGCTGTAATTGGTCAAATAATCACACATGCAAAACGTCAGCTAGATCAAACAACTAGAACTGGATCAGGAGCATTATTTATTGAATGTCCCTCATAGAATGCATGAGACATACCTCACCTGTAAAACATAACCAGTTGTTAAAAGTTATTGTGGCTTATGTAGGAGTCACATTACAACCAACCTGATTGATAGTTCCTTTATTTGATGACTTTGATCCTTTATAATATCTCTGCAAACTGTGTGACTTAAGAAATAGTGTTATTGTTTAATTGTTGCAATTGTTGTTTGCTGTTTTTATTCTTTTTGATTGTTTTTTTGGGGGTTTTTTTGTTCATGTACTAGGGACCAGATCTGTAAATAAGCAATTAGCTACATGGCAGTGGTTATCCTAACAGCTGGGCTTGTTCTGTCCCTATCTGATGAACTTTAAATAAATGAATAAGTAAAAAGGAATCAGTTTTTACAAATATTTTTTCTTGTTTTCCAACTTCTCAGAAGTTCAGCAGAATGAGGCACAGCCACAAAGAGCATCAAGAAAAGGTGAGCAGATAGCGTTGGAATACGCTTTTAAAGTATTTTTGAAAGTTGATCTGCCAGTTAATTCAGATTCAGCTTTAAATATGTGACGAGAAATGTTTTCACGCTTTCCAGCTGATGCACCAGTTTTCAATTTAGGATTGTTTTTTTCTTCCGATATTGATTTCATAGCTGCTAAAATGTCACATCTGTATTTTTTCTTTTGATTTATACAAGAATTCTCTGAAGTCTGGACAGGATCAGGGGGGGCTGAGCCTTTATCCCAACAGTAATTGCTTTCCATGGCTCGCTGCCTGATACATCATTTTGTCTTCGAAGCTGGGCAGTCGATGTTGAATGTAAGGGACCCAGGGGTGTGAAGAGGGCTTTGCTGCAGCCTCTAATGAGGCCTCTTATCAGATTGATGAGACCGTTATAGATGAGATGAGCCCTCCACTCTCTTGCCTTTGTACTCTTATTACTATATACCACCATTAGTTACCTGCCACAGACAAAAGAAATTCAACTTCAGAATAGCAACAAGCTTCATTGCCATTCTCTTTGGCATTCTCCAATATTGGCTTAAATTCATATATTAATACCACTATTATGAGTCTCTGACAGCCACTTCATCTTTTGTGATGCTGCATAAAAACTTGTCTTGTGGCAACTGCAGATTACATAAAGAGCTCCATGTGCAACAACAGCCCCTGCTCCCTGAGTAGTGATAATCCATATGCCACTATCAGAGACCCACCCGGGCTGGCGTGCAAGCATACAGAGAGCAGCTATGTGGAGATGAAGTCCCCCTCCCACCGTGAAGTCCCCTTTGGAGGAACCGCCACACTCCTGGCCACTGTGAGCAGGAACGTCTACGATGTTGGTGAGTTTAAGCATCAGGGGATCATTTGTTTTAATTGACTGGGCCCTTGATAAGATTTTATAATTTGGATAGATCATGAGATCTTCTTGCATCAGTCTCATCAATTTTATCTTTACTAATATACATCCTTTTTTCCTCCAAACTGTTGCAGAGCCAACCGTGAGTATCCTGCAAGGACCCAATGGAATGGCCACAGGTTTCTCCCAGGGTTCCTATGACCTGTCCTGTGGCAGCCATGTCCCCAGCCACTACGACATTCTGCCAATGCGTCACAGTCCCACACATACACCCCCAGCAGCTCCAGAAAGCCCCAGTTCCTTGCTTTAAAGCAAACACCCTCCACCTGGCCAGGACAACTTTCAGCCAATGGCTCTCCCTTTGTCTCTGTATGTGTCCGATTAGGTGCTGATATTCTGAGAAGGAGAGACAGCCACAACTCCTTCAGCGCTCTTCGGCTCCCTTCCTGTGACCCTGAGGGAGAGTGAGGGGGAGAGAAAATGTGTCTCAAACACCAGCGACCGTTAGCCCGTTTTATTTTGTCATGAAGCCGGCCACTCAGACTGCTGCCTGGCCTTTATATGGACCTCCTGATGTGGACTGTTCCATACATTCATGAGAGGAGGACACATGCACTGAGTGGAAGGTTTATTTACAGGGAGAGCTATCATCACACTGATTTTTATGCCATAATATGTGTTTATTATAAATGAACAGCCAAGTGTAAAGTCCCTCTAAACCAAAATTATTTTCCCGGAGAGAGAGAAGGAAGCATAAAGAGAAGTTCTGCTCATCAAACCCAGAAATGAAGGAACATTTCCAATCTAAATGTTAGAAATGGAGACGGGACTGAAAAGCAGTTGAAGCAAGCATGGGTAAAATAGAAAGTCATTATAATGGTTCTGTATTTGCTGTTATCCAGTAATGATCACAGTCATATTACTAATGTAAGCTAATTTTTGTTGTTAATGAGGTCATGTTTATCTAGACATGCTTTCAGGTCACAGCGTTCATGCATTTATTACATTGAGACTTACAAACACAGAATCGGTCTAATGTTTGACCTTTTTTCCACTCGTTAATGAAGTGTTTTAATCTTGTGTTGATTTCCATGTAAAGACGTTTTTTTCTTAAAAATGTTTTGGTTTCTATTTAAATGTTATTGGATGCTTTGATCTTTTATGTTTTGTATTTGTAAAGATTTTTTGGGTTTACATGTTAATTTATATTATTGATGATTTCCTTTAAGTCAATGTGGTTATAATAATAATAAAAAAAAAGATGAGCATGATCAGATAATGATACCCACGGATGTAGATAACACATGATTTATCTTCTTGTGAGATTAGCTGTGTCATTTTGTGAGCTGTTTTTGAAGTCACTAAAAAAATATTCTCTCTGTCAAATTGTAGATTAAAAATAACTTTTCATCTGACCAATTTAAGACCCTAAAACCTTTATGAAGAGGATTCATGTGTGACAGATATCCATCTCAAAAAAAATCTTTTTATTGTCCTGGGGGGCTAATAATTTATTTTTTTAATCTAGTAGACGGAATTTGCTGAAATCCATTTCAACCCTCTGTTGAAGCAATAACATGTTGACAATCGATGCACAGATAGCATTTCGGAGTTGCCGGACATTATCTCATCTATGATCAGCGAAGTAACAAATGAACACACCTGTTTGTCCTTCTGAGACCTTTTTTCCTAGTTTCTGTCACATAAATCTGGTTGTGGTTTTGGTATTTAAGTTTGTTTCTGATTAAATACCTCCTCTGTCACCAGAAACCTGTCTCACTCAGATTAATGCACTGAATAAGAACAAATAAATTAACTTGATAAATGTAGCTAATGTGCTAATTTAGGTTCGGGAGCAAAACCACGCCTCAGCCACGCCTTTAATCACTTAGCGAGTCTACTTGTGGCTGGCTCTCACATGCAGCGCACTTTGTCTTCTGCTCTCGACACCGCGCTCCCTCCCTCTCATTGCTTTCTCTCTCCTCATTCTCCTCTGCTTTTTTGTTCCTGCTCTAAACATCTTTCATTCAAAGAAGTCCTCAACATATCTCTATATGATTCTCTTCAGCTTGTAAATCTTCCTTACTATCATCATCCAACCTTGTTTCCTTCCAATCTTCCAACTATTCTTCATCATCCCTTTATTAACCCTTTCCATCCTCTGCATCCCTGTTTGACCCAACCAACTCAACCCGCTTTTTATAACTCCCATCCCACACATTCTTCTTTGAACCTTCAATAAACCACTCATCCTTGTTAATAATTCCCATCCCACCCATTACCCCGATCCTTCTTTACATCCTGCTTTGTTCACACCATCCCTCTATTTGACCCCATATTCTCATCACCCCTCTTATTTCATCACATTTATCATCCATTATGGTCAGTCTTTCATCCCACTTTATCCAGTCACCCCTCTTAACAACCTTCTTTCTTCTCACTCTTCATGCTTTTTTCATTCCCTTCTTCATCCCCTTTTCATTCTACTCTTCCTTCCCTTTTTTACCCCCTCTTTTCATCCAAGTTCTCCCTGCCATGAATCTTTACTACCGTCTTCCTTCTGTCCCATCCACCTCAACCCTTAATCCAATCCCCACTCCATCCCTCTCTTCCTTCCATCTTCCCTCACATCTTTTACACACAATAATTATCTCTTTATTCCTTCTTCATCCTCTCTATGACTGCCGTTCATCCAACTCAATATTAACTTACATATTTAAGAGCCGCTTTAATCTCTCATCCTCCTCTTACCTTTTTACAACCCTTTTCATCACTCTTTTTGTCATGTTTTTTTGAGAAAACCCCAGAAGCAGACAGATAAAAACTGAGATGTTTAATAATAAAGTTAAGTAGAACATATAGATGAGAGTGAGAGAGCAAGAATGAGAGGTTGGAACACAAGCAGAATGGTAATAGTCAACAGAGAAAACTGAATCTTAATGCTGAATCCTGTAAACAGCAATGCCAAATGCAGAGGCAGACAAGATAACCAGCAGTGTAATTAGAAGAGATGTGGAACAGCTGTGGTAGAATGAAAACAGTGAAGCTGAGGAAAACACCCATTTGAGTGGAGTTGAGAAAGAAACTATTAACCTTAGGGATAAGATAAACAGATGGGAAATAAATAAAATGAATTTGCACAAAGAAAAGAGGGAAAACTATCCACTAAGGCATGAACTACTGTATGAACTAACTGACCCTAAATGGCAACAACGGCCACAGAAATGTACTAAACACAGCAAAGCCCACAAGAGATTAAGAAGAAAGCTTAAATCCCGAACACAAAGAGAACCTGACACTTTTCCTTCTCATCCCTCCAAACTCCCTTCATCCACTTGTTTCTTCTCATGCTGTCTTGTTACTCTTTTTAACCATCCATTTGTACATAAATACTGTATGTGTTTGTGTGTTTTTGTGCTTTTATCCCATCAAACCTGCGTTTGTGGCCCAACTCCAAGTCATTAACTTAAAACAAACTTTGAAGACATTCCCTCTGATTATTTCACATTTATTGTATGTATGTTGCAGAGCTTGCCATATATCTACCAACAGTTTAGTTTACTCTTGTTTTCCCTTACATGTGTCATCAAACTGCAACCAGTTTAGCATTGCATTGTGACAATTGTCCAGGAACAGTAGTTAGTTAATAAACTGTCATTAAATAAAAATCCATAGTTAACCATTTAAATGGGCAGATGAAATACTGCAAGTCACATGTTATTGTTCATCAAAGGCTATTTTTCTTTTTACATTTCATCGTTTTAGGATCCATTGGATGCCTAATGTTTTATTTTTGTGTGGGGTATGATATGTAAAAGCTGAACAAAATCAATCTTTTCACCATCATTGTTGAAATGTAGAGGAACTTCAGAGAGATTGTATTGCTCTGGGAGAGCCTCAAATTGTGGAGGTGCTTCAACTAACAACCTCAGAGGGATCAATCTCCCCAGCCCTGCCTTTCTGGAAGTCAGAAAATCAACTACGAACATCTTTGAACTCAACCAGTATAAGAAATTCAGAAACAATGTTTAATATGCAGTTTCCTGAATATTATTAGTTTAGATAAATCAATATATTTTTAAAAAAGACTTTGGACTAGCTGCTGAGGAAAAATAAACAACACTGTGAAAAGATAATGCTCCAGGAATTAAATGTGTCACATTCACTTTATCACTAATAAATTGAGCTGCCGCTTATTTTGATTTTATTTTGCCAAGTCACAGCTAGAAAAAAAGGGAAGCAAAGTTAATCTGCTAGATTTTCTGAGTCTGCCTCTAACAGATGCAGAATAATGTTCATTTTACTTCTGCACTACCAGGATTAGTTTGTGCAACACTGACATCTGTCTACATCTGTTCTGACTCTCTCTCAATATGTTATTTAAAGCTTTTATTATCATTTCTTTTCTTATTTTTGTCGTTTAAAACACATTTGCATCATCATTGACACATCAGAAATTGGCATTTAGTGCAGCACAGTTACATCAACCTAATTTCCGATTGCGTTTGGATTTTCAAGCCACTACTTTGATGTGCTTAACATATTCAGTCTTTTCCCACATAATGTACTTATCATTTGTTTTTAAAATAACTCAAGGTATGTTTCTTTCTGCTGCCCCCACTATAGAGAGCCTTTTAGTGAATAGGTTGAGTTTCAAGTAAAAATGCAGAGTTGCAACAAGTCAAAGACACTTTGAATGAACAGGTATCCATCGTTTTTTTTTTTTTTTTATTTGGGACCTGAAGACATCTCTCTGATGCCTGCCTGATGTAAGAGATGGGACTCAAACATCAGTTGGTTTTTTAATAGGAAAATATATCCCAAGGTGTCATGGAAATTAAAGGGAGACTTCAACATCTAAAGGAAAACAAAAATCCAACTTATTTTATTGGTCTCTTGTGATCCAAATGTCACATCTTACTGTCTTTTGTTGTACTCTATATGACAAACTGTGTGAAACTTCAATATTTCATTTATTCCTCAGAAGTGAAATAAAAAAAGGAAAAATAAACTGTCTAGCAAAAGTATGCATTTATTTTGTTGCATATTCATATGTTTGCTTGGGATTTTATGAGAAAGAGGAACACAAATATTGTTTAGTTGTGTTACTGAATTAATAGACACTCTTTTCTTTTCCTACTTATTTAAAAAAGAGGAAAATCTACAAAGTGTGGCATGCATTCGTGTCTGGCCTACTACTAGCGTTATATGTCAACAGACTAATATACATATATATATATATTTTTTTATATATATATATATATTTTTTTTTTTGTTTGTTTTTCTTTCACAAGTCTTGCAAAATAACTCAAGCTATTCATGTCCAATCATCTCTATATCATTTCAGTTTAATTGGTCCTGCTTAGGAGCTTCCGCCACTAAGTTTCACCGAGGACATTTTTGAATCAATCCTTTTTCAGATTATTATATTTAAAATCATCACTTGGTGTATTACTACATATTATTATACTATTCAGAAAACTCAGGGTCAGTCAACATGTGTTTAGAAACTCCTTCATTTGGTTCAGGAATCAAAGTACCTGGTGTGGCTGCTAAATTGCCCTCCTAAACATGAACCACTCTAAAAGCAAAAGCTTAGGTAATTTCCTCAGTTAGAGCATTTTAATGTGACTCATTGCATAAAAAATGCTGGAAAGATCTGATCTGTTCCAATTTGCACTGTATAAAACCTCAAACTCAACGCTATTCCTGACATTTTGAATTGAAAAAGCTTCCTGGATGGGAAGCGAATTGTCTTCAAACTTGGAAACGTCCAGTGGATTGTTTTTAACATATTTGGAATCTGAGAGAAGCTACATCAGCTGATCTTTTAGACTCTCTTGACATGTTAATTTATGATAAAGTCAGGAAAATGCCTGACTTTATCATAAATATTTTACAGATGAGTAACAAATATCTCTGTGTATATATATATACATACATACATATATATATATATACTGGTCGGGTTAGTTTCATTTAAATATGCATCCTTTGGCTGCACTTTGCAGGGACTAATTCCATAGCAGAGCTCAGCTGCAGATCTTTATTGTTGTCACGTCCTGCCACAGGAACTGTGAGCATCCAATAGACCAGAGCAGAATCTTTGCTTCGCTTTTCTAAGTGTATAATCAGTATTCATCTCAGTGGGGCTTATGATTTTCACTAACTCTGTATCCAGCTGAACCCAATTTTGCATGGAAATGTACCTTGACAAACATAACTCAGCATAGAAATAAGCCCTTCAGCAAAGTAATAGGAGAGGAGAAGTTAAATTGATTATCTAATTGAATCTAGCTCATAAGATGAGTGATCAAATGATTCATTTAGTGAGTAAAATCTATACACTCATCTTAACACATACAGTTCACATAAAAATGTGATATACTGGAAAGGAAAACACTTTGATTCACTGTCTATGTAAAGCTGTAGAGGAATTAAGGAAACCCTCTCATTATCTATGCTGAATCATAATTTAGATGCTCTGTCTGACGTCCTGATACTATATGTTGATGAGCCTAGATGTGAAATACTGTCAAGCATAAACAGCTTTGTGTATAAATAACATTAACCTGACATTTAGGACGTCTGATAAACAACAGCTACTGTAACTTGTATTAGCCTACTGATTGATAACTTCGATGTATACTCTAAAAAAAGTAAAATAAATATATTTCTAGTAAATGTTATTCCAATTTAACGTGCTTTCAAATCGAGGACAATGTTGTTTTGGATGATTCCGATCAAAGCAACTACTGTCCACCAGGGGGCGGCAGGTGATCGTAAACGTATGATCATCGAAGGAGCATTAGCAAGAACGTGATTGTAATAAAAACTGATCAAGGTAATGAAAAAGGTTGCTGCCTTGTGGTATAGCGTGGTATTTCGGAGAACTAAAAAGATAAGAACATGATATGACCTGAGCTCTTCTAGTATTAATACTAATGTGTATCAGAAAGACGTCACGTGGTTCCATGGTGTAATGGTTAGCACTCTGGACTCTGAATCCAGCGATCCGAGTTCAAATCTCGGTGGAACCTGTCTTTTCTTTTGATCACGATATACATTTGCTTTCCTTGTTTGAAACTATTTTAATCTAAAAAAAAAAAACACTTCTGGGATCCCCAACACCCTTACAAGTAGTCTATCAGTCCAAATGCAAACATTTGTTGGAAGAGATTGGGCAAAATTATTTATTAACCAGATTTTCTTCTATTAAACCTAATTACGACCAGACAAGTAAGTACAATTACCTATGACACCACAAAGTAGGCTTAAAAATCTCAGAATAAAAAAAAAAAAATGCCCCATTCAAGTACAAACACGTCAGACAGACAGCTTAGAAACAATGTCATCTTGATTTATCTGTTTAAAAAGGTCCAACTGTAGCTTGCACAGGGGACTCTATTCAGCCACTGCAGAAGCTCAGCAGTAGTTGGCCTATTGTTGTTTCATCGACCCGCCTTATACATATTGAGAAGATCACAAAGGAAACTAGAACATCTAAAGTGCTTCAAGTTTCAGTTCTTTTTATAAGACCTGAAGTTGCTTTGCTCATTCAGGACCTGGTTGCCTTGTCATTATTTATATTAAATGAGAGAAGTGTGAATTTAGAAGAAAATCCAGAAAGTGAATGTCCAATCATTTTGTCCAAGCTCACATGAGCATTGCGGCAGGAAAACGCTCACCAACAAATCTGACTGCAGAAAAAACACCTACCATATAAGAGTTTTAGTGTAACACAATTAAAGCTTGTTTCCAAATCTGATCGAGGAACTACAACATAACATTCAAATTGTCATCTGTGGTCCAAAACTCTCTCACAAAAATGTATTTCCTAAGAAAACTGAGCATAAAATTATATAGCGATGTTAAGAGTCCAATTAGGAATTATCATAAACACTCAATGGCAAGTATTTTAGGTAAAGGGGTAATCACTTTTTTTCTTCTTTTACATTGGGCTAGAATTATTAAGATGGCCCTTTTTTTGCATAATTAAATTAATTATTTGAAAATTGTCCTTTGCACAAACTCTTTGCACTTGTTTCATGTTTTGAAATAAAAAAAAAGCATAATATCCATCAGATTTCACAGTACCATGCTGTGTGGCAGAAACAGACCATGTGAAAAACACCCATGTTCTCCTGTTTTGGTCCATTTCTTCTTATGGGTTATTTTCCTTCAGCCTATTCTTGTTTTACAGCTTCATTTTTGAAGCTATTGATGACTTTGTGCTCATTCTTGCAAGGACAGCAGCACAAAGAAAATGTTTTTGCTTTGCTTTTTCATCTGCACCTCCTGCCAAGTTATCCTGAGATGAGATCATCAGGCAAAGTCATTGCTTTGAGTAAAGACTTCTGGTGAAGCAAGATAATTGATTCATCTCATATTTTGTGCATTATTAATAATTAAAGGGCTTATTTCAGTGATGTCAAATGTGGGGTTTTCCTGCAAATTATTAATGTTGAATCATGAAGCAATTAATGCTTCATCAGTTATAAATAATGAGACAAAACCTAAAACTGATCCGGATTGCTGTAACTTTATTCAGTAAGAAGCGCATCAAATATTCCCGCTGCTACAAAAAGGTGAATTTTTAAAACCTTTCAAAACATTTGATGGATATAAGCTATGTTAGATGCAAAGGTAATGAAATTCAAATCTATGTCATTATGCTGACATTTACCATGAAGCGATTGTTGTCTGTTTTAAAATTAATAATAATAATAATAATAATAATAATAATAATAATAAAAATATTAAAAATTAGCAGTGCAATTAACTTTAACTAGTTTTTAAGATGTGATTCAAATACATTTAGTAGGTTTAATGACATAAATGCTCCTTGACTCTAGAAGGGGATATAATGTATTTTCCTATATGCTTAGATATATTTACTACGCTTGGTTGGATAAAATATTTTAAAGCAATTGAATTTAATGGGTGTTATATTTGTTTCCCCACATAAATTTGACAGAAAAAGCATGACAATCGTCACCGTAAAAAAATAAAAATAAAAAAAAGTAAAAACACAGGCTAAAGCTGCAACACGAACAATGACACAAATGTTAATATGTGCAGTCCATCTAACTAACCTGTCCCTCTTCAGACTCACCACACGAGGGCAGTATAGAGCTGCACTCAAGGCCAGGTTACTTCCTGAAATCCACAGCTCATAATTTCTGGATCAGATGAGAAATTCTATTTTTACATTGATTGGCTAGGAGTGATTCATTTCTCCCATCTCAGCATCCTTCTCTCTCATATCAATCCCTCTGGATCATTCTACATATGCAAAAAGCTTCTTTGATTTCCCTCCCCCTCAGAATCTGGTGATTCTGATCTTCATCCCATCCCTCATGTTAAATAGTTAAAGATAACACACTCTAAAGTAAAGCCTAATCAACTGCTTTTAGCTTTAGCCAAATTAATTCTAATCAAAAGCAGCAGATAAGACTAATATTATTTACATCTGTTGTCAAAATGTTATTTAGCATGTTTGTGTGGGCGTAAATGTAGTTAGTTACTTTCCACCCCAGTGCTATGTAATTAAAAGGGTTACAATCTATCAATGCAATTAGAGGAAGAACATTCCAGTCAGAGTGCATATCAGTGAATAAGAGAGAAATATGAGTCAAAAGCTGAAGAAAGAAGGGAAGAATAATAACATCTTATATTTAGACAGGAAGTCACGGACTGGGGTTTAATTCTATACATTTCAAAATGTAAAAGCATATTAGCGGGAATTATGTCCACTACTTGGAGACTAAAACAGTAAAACATTTTTCAGACATATGGAAAAATAGTAAATGGCCTGCACTTGTATGGCACAGACATTTGACATGCAGTATGTCAAGTTGCTATATATATATATATATATATATATATATATATATATATATATATATATATATATATATATAATTATTATTATTATTTTTGATATTTATTTTATTTTTTTAAAAACCATAATATTTTACTGGATACAAAGAATAGCAGCCATTCCGACTTTGAATTACTGTACAGCAAAGTTCATTAGACTTTTAAGAAAGGTTTATCATTTTAAATTTATGATTATTATGTTATCCTTCGGAACTTACAATAATATGTTTTATTATGTGTGTAATATAACCTTTAAGTAACTTAATTAGAACTTTTGTAGTTTTGGTGCATCATTGATGTTGTGTTGTTTGCATGTTTATTAATTTGACAAAGTTTTTTTCTGTGTATCATTTATTGTCAAAGAAAATTAGTGAATATTTCTGACAGAAACTGTTTTTATTTCTTAATGGTACACTACATGATTAAAAAGCATGTTTTCTTAAGAAAACAACATACAACTAAAAATCAAATATAGTTCACATCTATATTCAGGTTAAGTGAACTCTAAATACAAAAAAAGACAGTATACAGTATAAGCAGAACACATCATGGTCTATAACGGAATACATCACAAATAGTTGAAATTTAAGTTATATATTTTAATAGTCACCAAGCTGTCAGATAGATTTTTACTTAAACATAACACAAGTTGCTGTTTTAAAAAAAGACAAAATATGCAACCAGCTTATTGCCCAGCCTCTGGAACATGCAGTTCTCTTCTAAACCAGCTGGTGGCAGCAGTTTTACCATCATGTGGAATGTCCTTTGACGTTTTATAGTTGATATGTTAACAAAAAATGACAGTGAAAATACAGCAATTAATTATTCACAACAATAAACTACTATTAAAGAATATTTACACTTTTATGTTTTATGGGATATAGTTTGTTTCTATTGGCATATAGGAGTCTTCTATGTAAAGGGTATAGGGGGCTAATTAGATTTCACAGGGGTTATGGTGTTTCTTTTGCCCCATTCTAGATCCACCCTGGATAAGAACCATAAAAACATTTGTTAATGGCTAACTTTAAAAGAAGTTGCAACCACAGAAATTAGCAAGGATGTATCTTAGAAAGAAACCATGCTGGGTAGTTTAGTGTTGAACAGAAATGGACCCAAAGATATATATAAAGGTGGCCAGGCAATAACCAATGTACACTGAGGGGTGGCCGAAAGCGGATAGGCACCAGAACCACACGGTCAATCTACACTGTTCCAACAGGAAAATTAATGAGCAAAACATCCATATTTTCTAAATAAAGACTAACTATACTTTCCTACAGCCTTTGCTAACAAATAG